AGAGGCAGAGGAACTAGAACCAGTTTAAACCAGAGGCAGAGGAACTAAAACCAGGTTAAACCAAAGGAAGAAGAATTAGAACCAGTTTAAACCAGAGGAAGAGGAACTAGAACCATAGGGCCCCGTATTGCGCAGATAAAGCCGAGAAATCCCATTTTTTACTGGTCCAGCGAAGACTACAAACATCACTGAATCTTAAACTGAGGAATTCTGAAAGATCATCTGATCAGCTGATTAAACAGCTGTTCCCTGATCAGATGATATCCTGATGATGAAATGGAGACCCTGGAGCACCTGAGGAGGCCTCCCTACACTTTGGCTCCGCCCCCGCCCCCCCGGCCCCGCCCTGCTCACCCAGATCTGCAGCTTGATCCTCTTGTCGTTGCGGTAGACGGTCTTCACTTTGAAGTCGATGCCCACGGTGCTGACGAAGGAGTTGCTGAAGGAGTCGTCGGCGTAGCGGAACAGGAAGGACGTCTTCCCCACGCTGCTGTTCCCGATGATCAGAAGCTTAAACATGTAGTCGAAGTTCTGGTCCGATCCGTCCCGCTGGCCGAATCGCTGGTCTGCCTTCGCCATCTGGGGAGGACACACAAGCATCCATCTCTGATTCTGACTGAGTTTTTCTTCCTGTTTGGGGCTGAAAACCAGCCGGAGGCTTCCTGCTCTGCTCTGTCTGAACTCTGTCTGAACTCTGTCTGTTCCAGAGTCCAGAGTCCAGAGAACTCAGAGCTCCGCCCTCTCTAAGGCTCAGCCCCATCCCCTCGGAGGGGAACTCTTTGGGTCTCTGAGGGTTGGAACAAAGGTGGAAACGGGCCTCCTTACTTCTGACCAAGCCCCAAACAGAACCAGACCCAGAGAGGCTGGAACCTCTACATTCACTCCCTTCATTTCTTATCTGTGTGTTAGACTCAGTGAATGACATCATCATGTCACGTGACGCCCTCTGAGCGCATGCTGACACAAGCGCTGTTGCCATGACAACAGAGCAGGCTGCACCAGCTGATGGAGGCTGAGATGAGCATCCGACCATCCAGATTTTCTCACCGAGATTCAGAGCGCTCACACACACACACACACACACACCACGCCTGTGTGTTGTCGCCATGGAGACACAGAGCAGCAAAGACACAGGAGATGCTCTCCAGGTGAGAGATGAACAGGTAAATATGATAAAGCTGAGAACCAGAACCAATAAAACCCATTAAGAACAGATATCCATATAGAAAAGATATCCATATAGAACAGAAACAGGCCCCTAACTCAAGGGCTGAGCCCCTCTGTGTCCACATAGAACAGAAACAGCCCCTAACTCAAGGGCTGAGCCCCTCTGTGTCCAGATAGAACAGAAACAGCCCCTAACTCAAGGGCTGAGCCCCTCTGTGTCCACATAGAACAGAAACAGCCCCTAACTCAAGGGCTGAGCCACTATAGAACAGGAACAGCCCCTAACTCAAGGGCTGAGCCCCTCTATAGAACAGAAACAGCCCCTAACTCAAGGGCTGAGCCCCTCTATAGAACAGAAACAGCCCCTAACTCAAGGGCTGAGCCCCTCTATAGAACAGAAACAGCCCCTAACTCAAGGGCTGGGCCCCTCTATAGAACAGAAACAGCCCCTAACTCAAGGGCTGAGCCCATCTATAGAACAGAAACAGCCCCTAACTCAAGGGCTGAGCCCCTCTATAGAACAGAAACAGCCCCTAACTCAAGGGCTGAGCCCCTCTATAGAACAGAAACAGCCCCTGGAAGACGCCAAGAAGGAAGAAACAGGAGGAAAGCTGAGTTCTGCCAGAGGAACCAGACCTGAACCAGCTCTGATGGGGGGACGGCTCCTCCTGATGGAGGGACGGGTCCTCCAGAGCTCTGATGGAGGGACGGGTCCTCCAGATGGAGGGACGGGTCCTTCTGGGTCCTCCTGGAGGCTCCTTAAAGAAAGGAGCTGCTGGAGGCTTCAGGGTGGAGGAGGAAGGAGCTCAGAGAGGACACCACACTCTGGATCTGACCAGGGTCTGGATCTGATCAGGGTCTGAAACTGATCAGGGTCTGGATCTGATCAGGGTCTGGTTTATCTCCTGGTTCTGGTTCTGATCAGGGTCTGGTTTATCTCCTGGTTCTGGATCTGATCGGGTTCTGGTTCTGATGATGGTCCTGTTCTGATGGGGTTCTGGATCTGATGACGGTCTGGTTCTAATCAGGGTCTGGTTTACCTCCTGGTTATGGATCTGATCTGGGTCTGGGTCTGATCAGGGTCTGGATCTGATCAGGGTCTTGATCTGATCAGGGTCTGGGTCTGACCAGGGTCTGGATCTGATCAGGGTCTGGGTCTGACCAGAGTCTGGATCTGATCAGGGTCTGGTTTATCTCCTGGTTCTGGATCTGATATGGGTCTGGTTTATCTCCTGGTTCTGGATCTGATCAGGGTCTGGTTTATCTCCTGGTTCTGGATCTGATCAGGGTCTGGTTCTGACCAGGGTCTAGTCTCCTGGGGGCCCCTGGCAGCCAGAGAATCTGGTCCTGAAACCTCGTGCCAGACACATGCGCGCGCGCACAGACGTGAAAACGTTTGATCAGAAATCAGGTGATTGATGGGGGACAGGCGTCCGGTGACGTCATCGTGTGGGAACAAACATACATGGAGCCAATCGGGTGATCGGAGTTTTGGAGTCTGCCACGCGCACGAGCTCAGGTGATGGACGGTTGTGGGAATACATCGGTGTGCGTGTGCGCGCGCGTGTCTCACCTCTGCTGGGCGGGTCCGGCGCGCGCTCTGTGCACCTGATGAAGACGCAGAAGCTTCCTCCTCTCCCTCAGCGGGTCCTGGTCTGAGCTCAGAGTCCGGGGTCGGCGCGTTTTCCCTCGCGCGCAGTTGCCTCACGCACAGCTTCACGCGGACATGCTGCGATGATGAAGGGTGAGGCGACGTTTGGGCGCGCGTCAGCTGCTGCCGCCTCCTCTTCCTCCTCTGCTCCTCTTCCTCCGTGTGAATGAATAGAACGGTGTGCGCACGCGGCCTCACGGCGGCCAATCACAGCGCAGCTCTGTGCACACGCCGCGCGCGGTGAGTCATAACGGGATCGGGACACCTGGAGAGACGGGCCATCTGCAACGCGCGCGTGAGAGAATGAGAAGGAGCTGGGGGGCTCTGCCGGACCGAGCCGGAACCGAGGACCAGACAGGGTTCTGGAAGGGGTTCTGAGGAACCAAAGCCAGGGCCGGTTCCGTTTGGGTCTGGTGGTCCAGTTCGTTCTGATCTAATCAGAACCCTGATCATTAAAGCCCAGAGTGTCCAATCTATTCAGAGAAAAAACAAAACGTTTCAGGAACAACAGGTTGGTCAGAGGTTTGTCCCACTTCCAGGTGACCCCTGATGGGAGGGGCCCTCAAACACCTGGACCTCAGCGGGCCAGAGGAGGAGAACCTGGATTGGTTCTGTCTAGACACCAGAGACTCCTTCAGAAAGTCCTGGTCAGAGAGTTTTCTCAGAGTCCCCCCATCTTGAGAACCTGGTCTGTGTTCCCCGTGGTTCTGTCTGAACTATAAACTTTAGACCCAATCCCAAACAGACTTTAAAGGGAAAAGAATCCCATTATTAACTGGATTTGATCAGTCTATCGTTGGCTGGGCGTCACAGAGATTTAAGGTACTGCTCTCGTCCTGGAGGGTTTTATAACTATTCAGTGAAATAGATCAAATATTATTTGAAGAGTTCCAGTCAGGACTGCTGGTTCTGTTGGATCTGAGATCTGAATTTGATACCAGTTCATTCATTCAGTGAATTTGTTCAGTGGTCTGTTACAGGATTAAGTCCCAGGCCATCAAAGGGGCTTAATCTGATAGACTAAGTCCAGTTTGTGGAGAGGAAGCCCCTTCCTCTCACAGCAGAGTCACTCATGGAGTTTTACCTGCTTCCATCAGGTAACAGTTCCAGTGTTTCCAAGTTAATTATCAAGCACAACAGGAAGCTCCTTATATGGTGCACATCTTATTTTGCTGCCACCAGAATGGCAGTCAAACACAAGAAGTGTGATAAATAGCCTATACAGAAATACAATTTTAATCAAATTGTAGAAAATAAAATGATAAATAGCCATATTTGGAGTGGCATAGCAGAGGGCTGTTCATCTTCAGCCCTCTCACAGACACAGAGGGCGGAGGGATCTGAAGCTGTTTTCCACATACCAGCGTCTGGACTTGTCCTCGGCTGCATTTCTCCTGGTTGCCTCAGAGCTGCAGCCTCACGCGCACGCCGGGTTACGGCTGCGGCCCGAGCAGAGGAAGAAGATGCTGAGCGGGGATTGGCTGCGCGGAGGGGCGTGCGGCACAGGGCAAAGATGGCGGCGGTGACCAGAGGCTCCTTCAGTGTCTTCAGACGGCTGGTGAGAAACAAACCCTTTAAAGTCCGCACGCGCCTCTGCTGCCCTTCTGTCCGCGCGCGGCTGTCGCGCCCGCCGGTTGCGACAGGTCGTAGCATGACGTCACCGTAACAGAGATCGCGCGCAGCTCGGTAGCCGCCGTGCTAGCTGTGATGCTAACAGGCTAGCTGTGATGCTAACAGGCTAGCTGCCAGCCACCCTGCCGGAGCCGCGGACGGGCACGCGGACCTCCACGGCTCCGGTGGACCCCCATCGTGACTGGTACCGGTCCAGTCAGAGGTCCAGCCCGTCCCGGACCTGGTCCGGTTGTCTTTGGTACCTGTGTCGTCCTCACGGAGGTGTAGCCGCTACCGCTAGACAACCAGATAACTCCTCCTTATGAATGAAGACCTGAGTCTGGAGAGCTCCAGTGGCTCTTTTATTCCTAATACGAGCTCAGATTGAAAACTGTGACAAGAAGAACACAAAATGGCCGTTTAACTCTGTAACGGCTGCTTTTCTCATGTAAATAAATGTGACGTTTTTAGCGACAAATAAATCAAATTCATTTTCAAGCAAATAATACTTCTAACATCATCCTATAAATGTGAATATGTCATTATCAACTTACGACGTTGCCCCTGTGACGTTTACGGTGATAAATTCATGTCGTTGAACACAGAAATGTAGGAAATATAAACTTGATTAGCCTGTGAAACTGAAATCAAACCTCAAACACACTGAACGCCAGTGAACACCTGCCCTTCAAAATAAGAGCTCCTTCAAAGCTGGGGTCCATTTTGAACTGGGAGCGAACCGACACGCGTCTTAATCAAGGTCCTGGAGCGGTTCTGGTTGGGTTTTGTTTGATGTCAGGTCCAGTCGGAACCACAGTCCAAAAACCTGGACACCTGTGTGCGTCCTGGTACTGACCTGTCTGTGCTCCTCTCAGCTGAGTCAGCAGTACCGGCGCCGCTGCTTCCGGCTGCAGAACTGGAGGTCCAACAGAGCCCTGCAGCCACTCGTCTTCACCTGGAAGCCCAGTGTCCAGGTGTTCAGCAGCAGGTCGCTGCACACCGCCTCCAGTAAGTCTGGACCAGTAGGGTCCCTGTTCACCTGTCCTCAGGCCCGCTCACCTGTCCCCAGGCTTGCTCACCTGTCCTCAGGTCCGCTCACCTGTGCTCAGGTCCGCTCACCTGTCCTCAGGTCCGCTCACCTGTCCTCAGGCCCGCTCACCTGTCCCCAGGTCTGCTCACCTGTCCCCAGGTCCGCTCACCTGTCCTCAGGCCCCTTCACCCGTCCCCAGGTCCACTCACCTGTCCCCAGGCCCCCTCGCCTGTCAGAGTGAACCTCACCTGCAGGCTGAAAGTTTCCAGGCCACCTGCCAGATGTTCTGTGATGACATGCTTTTTTTTTTTTGAGAGACACCTGTAAATCCATATGTTGTTCCTCTGACAGAGGAATTAAAACTAGTTAGATACCATGATAATTATACATGATAATACACAATATAAATGTGAGATGCTGCAAAATGTCTCCCTGTGTGTCACTTGCAGTGTGTCAGGGACCCATCGTCCAGTTCAAACTGTCAGACATTGGAGAGGGAATCATGGAGGTGACGGTGAAGGAGTGGTACGTTAGACACCTCTGAACCCTCATACCTGTCATCACACACCTGTGACCCTACATAACCCCAACTTCCTGAGGGTGTAATATTGTAGATTAATTTAACAGTTTAAGTTCATACAGCAGGATTCAACCAGATAGCAGCCAAGCCGCTAACAGCTAACAGCTGCCCCACTAACAGCTGCATGTTTAATAGCTGCACTGCTAACAGCTAACAGTCATCCCCCACTACCAGCTAACAGTCGCTCCGCTAACAGCTAACAACCTCTCATAGCTAACAGTTGCCCCATTAACAGCCACATGCCTAATAGGTGCACTGCTAACAGTCGCCCAACTAACAGCCAAATGTCTAACATCCACCTTGTTAACAGCTAACAGTCATCCCCCACTATCAGCTAACAACCTCTAACAGCTAATAATCACCCCACTAACAGCCACATGCCTAATAGCTGCACTGCTAACAGCTAACAGTTGCCAGCTAACAGCTTCACCTCTCACATCTAATGGCTGCATCGCTAATAGCTAATAGCTGCCCCACCAACAGCTAACATCCACCCTGCTAACAGCTAATAGCCGTCCCACTACCAGCTAATAGCCATCCCACTAACAGCTAACAGCCTCACCTCTTACAGCTAACAGCTGCATCACTTACAGCTAATAGCCGCCCTACTAACACCTGCATGTCCAACCCTGCTCTTGTGGGTGGGTGTGACCCCCGGTGTGGTGTCTCTTGTCTCAGGTACGTGAAGGAGGGAGACAAAGTGTCTCAGTTTGACAGCATCTGCGAGGTCCAGAGCGACAAGGCGTCCGTCACAATCACAAGCCGCTATGACGGAGTCATCAAGAAGCTGTACTATGACGTGGACGCCACGGCGCTCGTGGGAAAACCGCTGGTGGACATTGAGACCGAGTCCAGCTCAGGTGAGTCTGGAACAGTGACTCCTCCTGGAAAAGGGGGGCCTGCAGACTGACGCCCAGCTGTCCTTCAGAGGTCATCCAGGAGGAGGATGTGGTGGAGACGCCCGCCATGGCCCGAGAAGAACACACCCACCAGGAGATCAAAGGTCACAAGACCCAGGCCACGCCAGCCGTCCGGCGCCTCGCCATAGAGAACAATGTGGGTCTGCCCCCCCTCACCCAGACTCCTCTGATCCAGAGTTAAGACCGAACTCATGCCTGTTTTCACTGGTGTGTCCCCTCAGATAAAACTGAGTGAGGTGGTGGGGACGGGGAGAGACGGGCGGATCCTCAAGGAGGACATCTTGAACTTCTTGGCCAAGCAGACGGGCGCCATCTTGCCCCCGACCCCATTCCAGGAGATCCAGACTCCGGGCCCAGCCCCGGCTGCTCCCGCTGCCCAGCCCGTGAGCACGCCGGCAGCAGCCAAACCTCCACCCTCCAGACCAGCACCCGTCTTCACCGGCAAGGACGTGACGGAGCCCCTCAAAGGTGAGTTTATGGTGGGGGGGGCGCTGGCCTTTGGGGAGAAGCATGTCGCTGCAGCCTGCGGGAAGGCGGGGCTTGACATTAAGCCCCGCCCACATCAGGGACAGACATATTGGATTTAACATCACTGTTGTTGTGATGTGGCGCTATATAAATAAAATTGAATAGAATTTAATTGAAATAATAGTTATAGTTCATGTTCCGTTGTTTTGCTTGAAAAAATATGTTCCTATATTCTATTATAAAATTTTCTCCAAATGGAGGTTTGTTTTCCTTGATTCTCTGTCTTTGTACTGTTTGTTGGTTCATATATTTTTGTGCTTTTTTGTAGCCTACTAGATATAGTGGTACAGTTATAGTTTATGTTTCATCATTCTGATGTTTTCGTAATCGTTATAGTTCATGCTACATTGTTGTGCTTGAAAAAATATATTCATATGTTCTATAAAATTTAGCTAGAGACTCTAAATTGAGGTCTGGTGATTAATCACTGTTAAAATATACAGTCACATCGTCTGTTTAGGCCATCGAAAAAACATTTTTTGTTAGATTTTTGTGAAGCTCGGGCCAGATACAATTTAGCATTGAAAACAATGTTTTTTTTATCGTTAAATCCAATATGTCTGTCCCTAATGTGGGTGGGGCTTGATGTGGGCGGGGCTTGAACCCTTGCCTGTGCGGGGCCGGGGAGCCTCTGTGGACTGAGGGCAGTTTGTGTGTCTGCAGGCTTCCACAAAGCGATGGTGAAGACGATGACGGCGGCCCTGAAGATCCCCCACTTTGGCTACTGCGACGAGGTGGACCTGAGCCGCCTGGTGGCCCTGAGGGCGGAGCTCCAGCCCCTCGCCCAGAGCCGGGGGGTCAAACTCAGCTACATGCCCTTTTTCATCAAGGTGATCCAAGACTTCTGACACACTCAGGAGTCGGCTCTGATTGGCTTAGATCATAATGGTGTGCTCTCATTGGCTCAGGCCGCCTCCCTAGGTCTCCTCCATTTCCCAATCCTGAATGCGTCCTTAGACGAGGCCTGCCAGAACATCACCTACAAGGTAGGGTTGTCACGATACTAAAACTCCACACCGATACTCTGGAAAATATTCGATACTCGATACCATTTTCGATACCACAAGGATAAAAACAAAGACCCCAAAATTTAACTGAATTTTGACAGGTTAGTGTCTTTGGTTTCAAACTGACCTGTTACTGATGTTATGGTGGCCCACATTAATTACCCTAACCCTGACCCTAACCCTAAACCTAACCCTGACCCGAACCCTGAACATAAACCTGACCCTGACCCTAACCCTAACCCTGACCCTCCAGCCTTCATAATTGTGAGAAAATAAACATTTTTTTTTAAACTTGTTTGGACTTATTGTACAAACCTATTTAACATCTACTATTTTAACATAATATTATGGATAGAGTTTAATTCAGTGTTTGCAAGATTCATTTCACTATTTAAAATGAATGTCTATATTGCCATGAAACGATTACCATTTTCTTGCCTGGGATCTTTCTATTGGTGACCTAATCAAAATGGCCGAGAGTTGGATATCCATCCTTGGCTTCCTGGAGTCTGCAGCCAGACAGACTTGATTAATGTTGGCGTGTTGTTATTAGCCATTAGCCGCAGCTAGCAATTCAAGGCTAACGTCATGTTAATGATCATAAACAACGTAAAGAAATAAATAAATCAGAGAGAATGGGCGGCAGGTCAGCGGGTGGTTTCGATACTTTTAAAAATGAGTATTGTATCCGGATACAACCTTTTAGTATCTATACTTTTTTGAGTATCGATACTTTTCTGAGACGTCCCTACTACGGGTGGGCCGGCCTCCTGGCCCGGGTCTGGGCTGGCGTCCAGCCGGGCTCTGACCGGAGTGCTTGTGGGCCGGCAGGCGTCCCACAACATCGGGCTGGCCATGGACACCAGCCAGGGGCTGCTGGTGCCCAACGTGAAGAACGTCCAGCTGCTCAGCGTGTGGGAGGTCGCCATGGAGCTGAACCGCCTGCAGGCGCTGGGCGCCGCCGGCCAGCTGGGCACCGCCGACCTGACCGGGGGCACCTTCACGCTGTCCAACATCGGCTCTGTGAGTACCCCGGTGGGGGGGGCGGGGCTCTGCCCGGTCCGGGGACCAACCTGTGGCTTTGGTCTGATCCAGATTGGAGGGACGTACGCCAAACCCGTCATTCTGCCTCCGGAGGTCGCCATCGGAGCACTGGGGAAACTCCAGGTGAGTCCTACACCTGTCAGAAAGGCCAGGACCAGGAAGTCCCTCTGACTAGAAGGTTCTGTGTCCAGGTGTGTGTGTGTGAGGGTCCAGGTATGACTCCAGGTGTGTGTGTGTGTGAGGGTCCAGGTATGACTCCAGGTGTGTGTGTGTG